AGGCAGTATGGAGATCATGAGTGGTAGACTTACTGCTTGTGTGCTTCCCATATGGGTGCTGTGAGCAAGGGAACAATCTTTTGTAATATGGCGCCCTTTGCGAGGTCAAAATTTGACACCCCAAAATGGATTTCTCGGTCATGAATCTTCTCAATTTGGGGCCCCCTCGGCTCAGCACCTTGTGTCAGGGAACTGCTGAACTAGATAGGCCCCAAGTCCGACGTCAAAAAGGGGCAGGGTGGGGGCGGAATGGGGCAAAGGCAGAATGGGGAAATCACTACTTGTGTGTGTCTTGGTGGTGTGTGCAGTGGCCCGGAACAGAACCTCTGTGTAAGTGGGGACTCCCCTGTGTGTACCAGTAGGGCTTGTCTTATGTTATGACATATTCTTAGCTGGCCATGAACTCTGAAGCATCTTTTCTTCCAAGACCAGTCAAAACCCAAGTCTGAGAATCTTCTGGAGGAAGAAATGAAATGCAGAAATGTGCTTTCCCTGAAGATGGCTGTGAAAGTTTTAAATCCAGCAGTGAAAGCGATAAAGAAAGTGCTTGCTGTGTAAACACTCGAATATACCCTGGTTCTGCAGATCATAATCGCTGACAACTATAGCAAACATAGTCTCGAAGAGTGTTTTCCCCGAGTGCTCGCTGAGCAACTAAACCAAGGATGGGGATTCTGTCACTCACTAAGTGTTGTTGGACTTCAGCTCCCATCAGCCCCAGCCAGCATGGCCAATGAATAGGTATGATGGGAATTGTAGTCCAACATTATCAGGATGGGAACTGTAGTCCAACATTATCAGGAAGCGGGTGGCGCTGTGGACGCGGGTGGCGCTGTGGGTTAAACCTCAGCACCTAGGACTTGCCGATCACATGGTCGGCGGTTCGAATCCCCGCGATGGGTTGCGCTCCCGTCGCTCGGTCCCAGCGCCTGTCAACCTAGCAGTTCGAAAGCACCCCGGGTGTAAGTAGATAAATAGGGACCGCTTACCAGCGGGAAGGTAAACGGCGTTTCCGTGTGCGGCTCTGGCTCGCCAGAGCAGCGATGTCACGCTGGCCACGTGACCCGGAAGTGTCTGCGGACAGCGCTGGCTCCCGGCCTATAGAGTGAGATGAGCGCACAACCCTAGAGTCTGTCAAGACTGGCCTGTACGGGCAGGGGTACCTTTACCTTTACCTTTAATTGTCAGGAAGGCTGTAGGCTACCAATTTTTGTGCTAAATAGTTCTCATTTTAGCATGCTGTCGGTTAATTTCTTTACATGTTTCTCTTCCTCCACACTTCCTGCTTCAAATAAAATCTCAGAGGAACTACAAATAGCCCCCCCCCATCTCTTCTGTTCTAAATACCTGATTTCCAGTCTGAAACCAATTACAACATATCACCTTTCAGGGAGATCACCGACTTATGTGGAATTGCTAAGATAAGGTAACCAAAGCTTAATTGCCTTTACTTATGATGAAAGAATGAGTGCTGTCTTGTGGCTAGGAACGAAGCGAGAGAATGTGTGTGCAGTATAAATTGGATTTGCATCTAAGGTTATCAAATTGGGAGTAAAAGCCACAAGGACAAATGAGGAGACTTGAATTGAGGACACAACCATAAATTGATTTGGAGCTTCTGGTGCTGCCAACCTGGTTCAGAATGGAGATACGGCAATGTTTTTATTCTGACATAAAAGGAAAGGTATTCATGAGGAAGTTTGGAAAACATCACAGTGCCAAAAGATGTAACTACCTTGCCAGGTCAGATTAAGGTCAGTTTGGACCAGGAGTGGCTGATCTGTGGCCCTCCAAGTTACTGTTGCTGGACCAGTTGTGGATTTATGATCTGTGGGATCCTGTGTGCAGCTTTGTGTGTGGGAGGGTGGGTGTTGGCAGTTCACCTAAATAAATGCGGCTGCGTCCAAAAATATAACAGAGCATAAGAATGAGTTAGTTAATAACATGGGTTATCTTTTTCCAACCAGCATATTATTAAACAGTACTTTTTGTTTCCAATTCATGATATAATTGGGGCTAGATGTAATGGAGCACCTCCTCCCAGACTGACATGCATGTGAGTTCAGATCTGTTTCACAGCTGAATGTGATCTGCTATGCAGTGCCTCCCTTCTGAAAGGAAGGGGCCCAACTGTAGCATGCCCTTGTTGGTACTGACTCTTTTGCCACTAGCTGAAAACATGCCAGTTTGCCCCAGGCATTTGGTGATTAAATGGTGGATTAGCTGTTGATTGCTTTCTTGCTGTATTATTGTTGCTGGGATGTTATTATGTTTTTATACTGCTTCACTGTATACACCCTGAGCTTGCAGAAAGGCAGACAAAATATATCCCTTAAAAAAGTTAAATGTTGCCAGCTTTTCAGCTCCTGTTAAAAATGGATGCTAAGCTGAGTACAGTAGCACCTCAGCTTACGTTACCCTTGGGTAACGTAAACTTTGGGTTGCAAAAGCGGCAAACCCGGAAGTATTTTACACATTCTTACAAGTATTCTGCACATGAGCAGAAGTAGTCCTCCGGTTGCGAAAACCTCGGGATTTGGCCGGACCATCGGAACGGATCCTGTCCGCAACCAGAGGTACCATCATACTAGAGGCTGCATCTTAATGTTGTATTTTAATCTTGTTTTTTAAGTTGTGTTTTAATCAACTTATTTTTATTATTGGTTGTTAGCTACCCTGAGCCTGGTCTTGGCTGGGGAGGGCGGGGTATAAATAAAATTTATTATTTATTTATTTATTTATTATTATTATTTATTATTAGTCTCTAGAGTGTTATTGAAGGCAGGCGGTATTTCTCAAGCACAGTTTACAAAAAGCAAATAGCAGCTTACAGATTTTAGAGGCCTGGATCTAGCGATTCTTTGCAGATATTTTCATCCTTCTCTTTGCAGCCCCTTTGCAGGTTTGGAGGACTCTCTGAAATAGTGTGGCAGTGGAAGCCTACACTGGATCGATGGGACTTTTTCATGAGCAGCTGGAGCCCTTTGCTTTGCAGAATACCATTTCTGAATGCCAGCCAATCCATAGATAGGATTGTTAACTGTTTATCACACGTATAAACAGTGGTGTTCAGTGGCTACCTGGTGAAAAGCTGGGGATGTTGCTGTTAACTCCCCACCCCCAAGATAAAGCATCTCAGAGTCAGTGCTAGGACTTACTGATAACCTTGACAAATTAAGACCATATATTATTAGTATATAAGATGCAACATTTTTGTAGAAATCAATACAGTACAGAATGAATCTCCAATAGTATAAAGGCTATAATAAGGAACTCTGAAGCTTATTTGCACATGGATATGGCTATTGGACAACCAGGTTTCTCACTGACTGCGTATGTGCTGTAAAGCTGCTTTTTGTGCAACCTAAACTCTAGCTAAGGAGAAAATATTTACAAAGAATCTTTATTACAAAAATAATAATTATACAATTATATAGCAGCATTTCAGTAGTAAACGCTTAATAGGTCAAAGATTATATTAAAATAGCCTGGGAAAGTTTGTGTTGATGGTCATTTAAATGAATAATTATTTAGTAAGCCCTGAAGTTAATTTTGAAACTTGGGATTTGTCAACATAGATGTTTATATGATTGGAATTGGGGATCATGGCAAATGGGTCGTTTATCCAGGACAGTAGTTCACAATGGAAGTTTTAAATGAATTGTTTGGCCCTCTTCCGCTGAAGCTTTGCGTATAAGCCTATCGCCGAGTCCCACCTGTTTACTTGTGGCTATTTTATTATTATTCTAGAAGCGCTGGACCTCTTAACAGTTAACTTTTTTCAGAGTTTTCATCTTATATTAGGATACCGATTAAGACCCTTGGGCTGAAATATGTTTGGCATATATGGAGATGCACTGCACACCATTTGGCCTACTAACGATGCATTATTGCAACATTTGTATACACATTTAACTTGTGTGTATTCAACTTTATGTCCTTGGCAATTTAAAAATAAAAAGGGGTGGAAATGGGATGAGAGTCCAGGAAAAAAACTTTGGCAAGCCATTGCACCCAATGTGTTTTGATCATACATGATTTGGGCTTTAGGCGCTATCCCTGAAAAGTAACCCCAGTGTAAGTTGCAGGGTTACTGTATATGAAAATGGTTTTATTGCAATAAATAATTTTCTAATATTTAAGGGCTGGATTCAACCAAGTCCCACTAGAAGAAGCCTGTGCAAGGACTTCTACTAGTGCAACAGGGTTTCCCCCCTTTCCCTCAAATTGGCTAAGGGTGTCAGGTTTGGGAGAACTGCCAGAGCAGTGCATAGGTGGAAGAGAGGAAGGAGAAATCCTTCTGGTAAGCGCAAATGCTTTCAATGACAGACTGATTGGTGTCAAGAGTGCTATGTTGAATTCCTCCCAAGACATTTTCCTTAACCCTGATCTTCATCACGAGGCTTGTTGTTGTGGAACATTTGCAACTTAGATTACCTAGCTGTGATTTGGACACTGTACACGCGATGAAAACTTGTATGTAAGATGCTGTATGTTATGTTTATGAGAATTTCCACACAACTTCATACACTGGAGTGTGTTCCATGAAGGAGCATGGTAACATGAAGATGTTGCAGTGTTGAAATTTCCCTTTCTTGTATCCGCTGCCATTCCTATTCCAAGTTGGAAATTCCAGTGTGAAAACAAGACTTCCCTGTTATCACTTTTGATGTGCTTCACAGATACAACAATATTGAATGAATTAGTGGACTCACCAGTTAACAGCAGGATAAACCTAACAGACAAAGGCCGTGATACTATGCTGTTTTGTCTGGGAGTAAGTCCCATTTAACTTAATAGGATTTACTTTAGAGTAGGTATGCATAGTATTGCACTGTGCCAGTAAAATGCCTTATTGAGTTTAATGGGGCATTATTCCAGCTAGGTGGATGTACGTTGGAGTCCTGATGAATTTTGATAAAGCGTCATCCTAAAACATGACATTTCACTGTTGCACTGAGAAAAATAAATTTCAAAAGGAAATCTGACCTAACAAATGACAGATTTAACAAACTCTCTTTATTTACATAGAAATATGTGTACACATGTGTTCTGTACTTGTACACATACATTTCTAAGTATATATACATGTATAATTTCCACATACTCTACAATAAATAACTTTTAGCTTGTATCTTAAACCGCCTAGACTTGGGTAAAAATACATGTTCAAAAAATAATGGCTTACGACTAAAGTACAAAAGCACCCGAAATTGAACTCATAAATCTCAGCAACAAAACCTAGCTTATATACAGCTAAATCTAGGACACACAACACAAATGTGAACTAGAATTTTAGTGGTTCATTATCTTGGTAGAAAGGAACAACTGAAAGGGAACTTAATGTAAGAAACCAGTTTTCAACCTGGGGGGGGGGAGCAGGGAACTGCTCAGGTTTATGACTAGCCAAATAAAACCCACATTTCTAAGCTGCTACCTTCTAATAAGTTCTCTTTAATAAAAAGGATTTTGGGGTGGAGATTTTACTACAAGGGAGAAGAGAACGGACAATATGATTTAGATGTAGGAGCAGATGTATAGATGACTGGGAGATCCAGTGTATGTGCTGCTTGCCCATTATTTAATCTGAATTGGAGTTTCTCACTGAAAGTCACGGGGGGGGGGTGTTTTCTCCACTAGACCAGAACCTCTGGGTGATCATATCTTACATCACAAGATAGGGCTCAGAGCCACACTTTGCTCTTTGATCATGGAGCTCCAGTTCATCCCAGGGCAGGGTTGAGGACTATCTATTGCTCCTTCTGAAAAATCAATGAATTGCACCTGGAATTTTCCTTCTGTTGTGCTTTTGCAGCTACTTGTTTTCCCAACAACCTTCCACTTTCCTGTAACTCTCTATCCCTTCCTTGGCATTCTCCACTGCTTACAAAGCAGAGACAGCCCCTCCTGCTCATTCCATCTCTCTGCTTATCCCCTCCTGCCTGCTTTCCAGACAAGAAGTAAGAATGCATTGCTGTCTCCCAAATTCATGAAAATTGGGCAATACACCAGCAGGGCTCATCTCTACTAACAGCCCCCAGATCATATTCTGGTCAGAAGGTAGTCTGATACTGAGGGTTTCATGCCATTTTTGGGTGGGGCCATAGGAAAAGTTGGTGGAGCAGCAAATGTATGTTTGACCTTTGTACAGTAGGCTACTTTCTACACACAGCTTTTTATCCTTCACCCAGGTAAGCAGGAAGCATTATCTGAGTTCAGGGATACATTCCAATAGGGCAGAACAGTGAATGAGGAGTGTGGCCTGGGGAGGGGGTGTGGCCTCTGAAGAGTCCTTAGGGGCCAGATAGAGTGGCTGAAGGGGCCATATTTGCCCTGCCCTGAGATCCCCCACCCCTGCCCTAGAAGGAGTGTGATTGCATTGTGCTAATGACAGACTGTATGGATTCGCCTGCTTAAGCACAGCAACCGTATTTTAAATATTTTTTGTATTACGTGGCTCTATTGATATACCTCTGTATGTTCTGACCACTGATATGGGAGGCAAGCTCCCTCCGTTTCCTGTACTTGGCTGATTTTATTCATTTGTCAAAAGCACTTTTAAACAGCTTCGCCTATACAGATGTTGGAGTGGGGGGGAGGGTCTCACATTTAGAATGAGCAAAAACGAAACAAGCAGTACAGTACAAAGAAATAAACCCATAAAATACGTCAACGGGTAACAGGAGCAGATAAAGCAAGGGCAGACTGAACTAAAACCAATGAACTCACTACACCCTTAAAATGTCTGGGCTAAAAGATAAATTTTAATCTGGCACCAAAAAGATACTAGCCACACATCTGAAGAGGGAGGACACAGCCTAGAGTTGGGCAGTAAACCCAGAACACACTTTTTTTTTTTTTTTTTTTGCTCTTTAGTGGGTCTCAGTCACTAACAACTATGAAAATGGAAGGTGTCATTCTAAAACATGGCTTTTAAGCATGGCTTCAGAGGTGAGCAGCTGACCCACCCTCACTTGCATTAACTGGGCTCAGTTCTGCTGTATTCAAGCTCAATGGCAAGTCAGTGACAGCTCTTGTGAATGATTCATTCATGAAGACAGTTTATACAAATCTCATAGAAATTCTTTTAAATATTCAATTCCTACAGAACATTTGCCAAAGCTTTAGGCAAAATTCATAGGAACTCTAGTGTTGGGCAAGCCCCTCCCTATAATAGTTCTCACATCCAAATCTTTTGGAAATGTCTGACTTCCCTCAAAATTATAGATGCTCATCACTACTTGAGCCTAAATATTTATCCTGACATGTTTATTGGCAGTCGTGTTATGACTTTCCTCTAACACCAATGAAGTGTGCTCCCCCCATTCTAAATATTAATCTGCTGTTGCAGCAACTCCTAGAGAAGACAGATAATGTGTACATTGCTTGCATGGGGTCTGTTGTTTCTGCTTGTCTACATATTGGCAGTGTCTGGTATTTCCTCTACAACTGATGGGAACAGACACAATAACAAATGATTATTCATTTTTTGAAATGACATTTTGGTATCTGAAGGCCTAATTATTTATGGCAACATCTTAGACTTAGGGCCAGTTCACATACTCATGAACATCACTTGCTTAGACATTATGTTGAACTTGCAGCAGAAATGGTGAATTGATTTCACTGAAAGACTTGAAAGTGTCATTTATGGTGTTTGGTCTTTGAGGGTGTTCACTGACACATGCAAATTGACACTTGATGTTGTAGCCATCAAGTGAAGAACATGCACAGGTGAACCAGCCCATCGAGAGAGGATTATTTTCTCTTGGGAGAGAGATTTTTGTTGCTATAACCTGATTAGGAAGCCCTGTCCAAAAGAAGCTTAAAGTGGAATTTTAGACAGCTTATCAATACACTGATTTATCAGTCATTGGGGGGTGGGGAGAGAATGGATTATATCATCCAGATGACAAATACGGTGTTTCACTGTGGTAGTTGTAATCAGGACAGACTTTTTGCACCAGTTTGTAATCAACGCTGTAAAAAGCAATGTAAATACAGATGACTTTAAATGGTTTAGAACACAGCCAGGACACATGGCTTTGTGTCTGCTCTTGGTAGCAGATCTTCGAAGGGTCAAAATTACACAATGCAGTTTTCTTAGCCCTATCCGTTTTCTCGTATTCAATTCGACAGTTGAAAGACTTGGACTCCTTGGTCTCTAGCGTTGACTGTGGTGAGGATTCAAACTCCACCACCTTGGAAGGTGGCACCAAGCTCACAGAAACATTTCCAAGGCCTGTGGAATTGTGGCGGAAATAAACACTGAAGGTTCCATTGCCATGGTCAACAATTTTCCCTGTTATGAGAAGATTCAGCTTCACAGTTTTGATGTTAGAATGGAAGTCACCCCACCCAAACATTTTCTTGAATTTCCCAGTTTTTACAATTGGTCTGCGTTTAGTTCGTGCAAGAGATTCCTGAACCTCAGTGATGTTGGATAACCAATCCCAAAAGTTGTCTATGCTGTCTGAATATGACATCTGTCCATGTTTCAGTGCTGGGGATGGCTTAACAAAGAGGCGTAAAGGGTTGATGATCCTCGAATTGACTACATTATCAACTAGTGTGTCTGCAGGATCTTTGTCTTCCCAGTTTAGTAAGTCTGTGGCATGGATGATCTGCTTAGCATCACAAAAGATCTGTTTCAAAAGAGAGAGAAAAAGAAGACAATAAATATTAAAAACTAACATGTGATATTAAATTAAGTTAAAAGATTCTTGCCCTGACTTTACTGTGAAAACACTCAAGACAGTTTATATCTGTATTGTAATATTGAGTGACTCTTTTGGTAACTGGGCTCAGTTCTGCTAGGTTCTAGATGCATGCTCTGCCCTTCTAGATGTGCCTGAATGAGTGGTGATCACACCTGACTGCATCTGAAGAGAGAGTGGAGACTTCTCTGTAGGGCAAGATTCTGAACCTCCTAAAATCTCCAGTGCCGTAGCCCTGCCATCTTTCTCCTGCCATCCTCAGCTACTATTAATGAGAGGCTTCCTATATGCTTCTGCCCATCTCTCTGATCCTCAAAATAATCACTACCAGCAGGTCCCATCCTTTTCTCTCACAGAAATGGTTTCAGTAGGGCAATGGATTCTTTTGGTCATTCCCCTCCCTCTTTATCTGTAAGGAGCCACAGAGAAATGTGTATTTTTAAAACAACAACAACACACTACATTCTAAGTACTTAAAAGAATAGTAAAATAAAATTAGTTAATAACTAGGTTGCAAGTACTTAATGAGCAATAACCTTTTTGAATTATTCACACATGAATATAAAAAGATTAAAATCTTATTCTTAAATACCAGTTTTATGCGGAAAGTGCATTGCAGTTCTTTGCTAATCTTCCTCTTAATATAAATCACTTTGAAAATCATCTTTAATTATTTCTCTTTTTTTAAAGAAGATTGTATTTGCTTAAAATAGAAACTGAACTGATACATACTGGACCTTGGGCAGAAAACTCATTCTGTGATAATGGTTTAGCGTTATAAGATATTTATTTCTGTATTTTAGAAAATCTACTTTTTATACAAATCAAATGTGACATATGAAGTCTTCTACTTAACCCCCCACCAGCAAATGTACCCCAACAAAGCAATCCAAATAAAATACCTGGTAGAAGTTAGTAAGCATGACACCATTTGCATGTAAAACAAAACATGTCTTTACTTAGACCTCCTCCTTTCCAATAAAACAGAATAGTTGTCCGTAAGTTATCGGGGTCAACAAAATCTCACAGTGTAAAGTACAAACAGCTTCTCAAATGGTGTGTGAAATCTAAGCCTTTACAAAAAGCATTTAAAATGTTCAGCAACATACATAAAACATAATTATAACAGTTGCACAAATACAACAGTGCAACAATCATGAGTAACAACAACAACAAATATTGCATTTTCTTAATACTAAATTATTGGTCCAGGGAGAGATTAACCCTAATGTTATCCAAGATATGGGGCAGAAGCTTTCACAGAACATTCGTTGCTTTCTCTGTTATGTGGATATCGGGGTTATATCCTAGTTCAAGGTTTTCATCTGCCTTATACTAAGGCAATCACCTGTTCATCTAGCTTGGTACTGTCTACAATGAAAGGCAGTGGCTCTCCAGGGTTTCTGACACAGGTATTCCCCAATCCTACATGAAGAATCCAGGGCTTGAACATGCCCCCACCTTGAGCTCTGGCTAATCGTCTCCATAGACCCTGGTGCACCCCTGGAATCTCGCACCGCTCATGGAGATTGTGGTGGTGAGTAACAATGCATTCCCTGGAAATGGCTATTGCTTAGTGGCAGGGCACATGCCTTCACATGCAGAAGGGCCCAGGTAATGGTTTAAATAGGATCTCAGGCATTAATGTTAAGAAAGAGCTGTAAAGAAACCATTTAAATCACAACAAAAGGGAAATCTCTTATGCAGCCTCAAATTCCTCCTCCATGGTCTAGACTTCTTTCCTTTTCCTTTTCTTTTTGCTCATATATTGCTTTAACAATACAAATTAACTTGAATGCTAGAACAAAGTAAACGTTTACATAATTCATGACTTGACAAAGCTTACCAATTCTGCAAGTGCATGCACATTGGATTCATGCAATATCATACAAGTTTTCAGCATCTTACACTCAAGCCAGGCAAGAATAATGAAGTCTCCAACAGTCGTCAATTACACTAAAAAAAAATGCAATCCTAAACTGATCACATTATATTCCATTACAATTCTCCTATTGTAAGAAAATTATAACAGACACTAATAATTCAACATAATAAGCAGAGCCTGGACCATACTGATAATTAAATGTGCTTTTCCTAAAGGCAAAGGCTGTGATAGGTTTTGCAGCAGCATATGTGATTGCTGTAAGGCGTTAAGGATTTAAGTAGCATGTACTTATTAGCTACACTATACTGAAAATCCATACCATATTCATTTTCTGGAATGTATTTTGTACCTATGCTTGTGGTACTAACCTACAGTTCTGATACCCCCCCTAATTTTCCCACCCCCTGTTGCTAAAGCATTTTGCTCTTGTTACATTTGCATTGATGCTATGAGGAAGGAGGAAATGGGCACAAGGAGCTGTGAGTGGCAGCTCCAAAACTGCCCTTCATGTGGAACTCTTGTGATGCTAAGCCCTCATCCCGGTCTTGAAACTGCAGTACAGTGGTACCTTGGTTTACGAACTTAATCCATTGCAGAAGTCCATTCTTAAACCAAAACAGTTTTTAAACCAAGGCGCGCTTTCCCTAATGAGGCCTCCCGCAGGCAGTGCCATTCCACCATTCGGATTCCATTAGACCGAAGTAAAGTTCTGAAATCGGGACACTATTTCGAGTTTTGAGGAGTTTGTAAACCGAATCGTTCTTAAATCGGACTGTTCTTAAACTAAGGTACCACTGTATTCAATCTTATGCAGCAGAACAGTTCATATGTTTTACAGAATAGGAACAGAGTTAAGTCCTGGTGAAACTATGCCCTGAGGCTTCTGCTAGTAGGACTCATTAGCTGGATCCTGCCCTTGGTTTGCATATTGTTTCAGAAGGGGTGAATAAGATAGGTTTGCCATTAAATGCAAACTAAAACAAATCCCCCCCATCGCCATCTTCCACTGCAGAATGGTTCCTCCCACACTGTATTTGGAGACTTGTTTGGGGGTTTTTAAGTATCCACATTGTAGTCCAATGTTAATTGTGGATTTCATCTTTACACTTGGATCTTTTTAAATAGCCATCACACAATATATGACTGTACCTATCCCACCCCCCGCGCCGTCATAGAAGTAATAATTGAAGAGTGAATTTCAGTGTTTCCAGTTTTAAAATATCATTTGCGTAGCCATCCATTGAGTCAGAACAGCAAAGACACAGATTTCAAAGAAAGCAATTGAAGGCCGAACAATGTCTGATCCCCTCTCCGTCCCAATCCCCAGTAGTATATCCTAGGGTTAAGTGGAAAACAGGCTTTCACAAACAGTTCTGGGGTGGGACTGGAGATCAGGTCGAGTCGCTATCACATTAGGAATGTACAAATTCTGTTTCCCACCCAAACAACTGGTAAAGCACCTTCTGTTATTACAGTTTTACTATGTTAATGAAAAGTGGCCAGAATTCCCTTGTTCAATAACATATATAATTGGATTGCTTTAACAATTCTGTCCTGTCTCCTGTAGTTAACTAAAATGACAAGCTGCTTCAGCAGGAAATAATGATTTTATTTTTTAAAAAACCCCTCTCATGATCAAATCTTGCAGCCCATTAAATTTTCTGCTTGTAAATGAATCTTATAAAGAACTATCCTCCCTGTAGAGGTACAAGCACACCAACGTCTCTGCTGACAAAACTGGAAAGCAGATCCAGCTGCACAAAACACGGCTATCCATGATTAGTAGTGCAACTTCCCCCAAAGCCATATCTCTTCTGAATCTTTAGGGAATTGTCAGAGAAGCATAATAGGAAAATGACAGAAAGTAGATGAGGAATGACAGAAGTGAACTATATATCAGAATACTAATTGAAGATATTAATATTTTCCCGTGTAATATATCATTTTCTGAAAAGCTGCTAGTGCTGATAAATACTAATAGAAGCCTGGAACAAAACTCAACAAAGGAAGAAGGGAGATAATTACAAACTTTTCTTGGCTTGCCCAAAGCTTTAACTTTTTTCTTTTGTAAAACTTTTTAGAAAATACCACCAAAAACTTGTTCAATTGACAAGAGGGGAAAAAACTTGCCACATTCAGCATTGCCTTGCAAAGAGCGATATCCAACTAAATCATACTTAAGAGCAGAACCTTTGAAACTAATTGGTCTTGCCTGAGCATGGTTTACATTCAACTGCATCCATTTTAACTCAGTTGTAGTTTTGTCCCTGTTATCTAGCACTGCTTGAATAATCTTATTTTGTTGTTGTTATTATATTTATTCATTTATATCCCACCTACTCCCCAGACTGAGACTCAAGGTGGCTATCAGATAAAATGGTAAAAGCTGAAAACATAGGAAAAATATTAAGTTCACACCTCCACATTCTAAATAGTTAGTGATGAACTAGCAACTCATGCTAGAGTAATATGTTGGGTAAGAAAGCAGCAGTAACTGCTGCCATCTTGCTTTTGGAACAGACAGTTTATCATTATCAGAAATCAGTATGTACACGTTAAAGCTCCTCTGTTGGCTAGCAAGGCTGATCTTAACTGTTGATATATACTATTGCTGTACTGTGTATTTTGGGTTTATGGACCACAATAAAGCTGTGTGTGTGTGTGTGTTTATCATGAGCTGGAGGCACAATGCCACTGCGTGGAATCAACTAACTGTGAGGCACAAAGAGCCTCACTTAGGAGGGAAATTCAAGTACAGTACAGTAGTCTGAAACTGTCTAGGCTCCTGAAGGGATTAATTGCTTTACATGTCTTCCCTGCAGCAATCGTCCACCAGCTTGCTGTCTCCACATTCTAGATTCTGCTACTTAATACTGCAGCCACCTGGCTAAATAGTGTCATAACGCTACCTGTGTATGCATGACCAGCAAAAGCACAACTGAAGGTTTTAGTTTGGGAATCTATTTTCAGTTTTGTTTTTTTTTAAAAAAAACTTAAATCAAGGGGTAGCTAACTTGTGGTGTGAACTCCCATCAGCCCTAGC